TTGATTTTGCAGTCCAAAAATCTTATCAGAAACAAAATTTAATAGCCAGATAATTTCATTTCTAAAATTCTACTTAATATTTTAAAAAGTGTGAATAGGATCAAATTATATTATGCACATGTCCAGAAATGTCATCACGAAACCTCTTACTTTGTATCATCGATATACACTAATTTAAAAAGAAGTAACAAAAACATTACACTGACTTTTTTCAGAAAATAGAGAAGGAAGATGTCCAACTTATCTTATGAGATTAGCACAATCCTAAAAGCAAATTTGACTCAGATATTTTTCAAACAAAGATAATATAGAGTAATACTCCTTATGAAAATAGATTAAAATTCTCTAATAAGATATTATGAAATCAAATTCAATAACATACAAAAAGGATGAAATACACCAAGTCAGATTTATCCAAGTTACACAATGTTTTAAACTTGAAAATCAAGCGATATAATTCATCACAGTAACAAAATGAGGAGAAAAACCAGTATGGCCATTTCAATAGCTGTAGAAAAAGCCTTTGACAGAATTCAACAGCCAGATGTGATAAACACTAGGACTAGAAAGGAATTGTTCAATCTGATAAAGGATACCTCTGAAAAACTTAGAGCTAGCTTCACCCCTCACAGTGACATATCTGATGGTTTTTTTCTGCTAAAATTAGATGAAAGGTGGGACACACACTTTTGTCACCTCTCTTCAACCTGTTCTGGGGCTTTCAGCCATTGCAATAAAGCAATGCTTGCAAAAGCACAAAGATAAGAATACGTAAACTATTGCTCTTAGCTGATGGCATGATTGTTGGCAAAGAAAGTCTCCAGGAAATTACAAAACAACTTTCACAACTAATTATTGAATTAGCAATATTTCAGGACACAAGTGCTTGCTACCATGCCAGCCCACACTGCATTGCCTGGGGGTGGCTGGTGAGTCCTCCATGGTGAACCCTTGTTTGCCCAGGGATGCTGTGGGAGGCTGAATGACTCTGACAGTTAGTTAGTCCTCTGGAACCCCTCCAAAGTGGAGCCCAGTCCAGCAGGGGACAGATCCATGGTGGTACAGATGGAGAAGATAGAGAACTTGCTTTGAGGGGGAGCAAGGCCATGGGTATCCCGGCACTCTGACTAGTGGGAACTGGAGTGCTTGTCCAGAGGGCAAATTATTCATTTGAGACACTTTTTGGAAGGCCCTCATGGAGGAACAGGTCTACCTGTGTTATGCAAGGTTGGTTGGACTACAAAAGGTTGGGGGGAATGTGGGGGGGGTTCCTAAGGTGCACCTGCAGGAACGAAAGGTCAGGCCAGAAAGCTGCAAGCTCACCCACAGGAGGGTTGTGGGGAGCACTTTGTAGTGCTCAGGCCCCTGGAAATCTGAATATTCTAGTCCTGGCCTCACTTGCCAAGTCCTTAGACTTAGCAGACGCAGGCAAGCCAGGAAGGGACGACCCAGAGTCCAGGTCATCCTTCTGACCACAGTGGTGGCAGAAACACTAAGGCTACAGCGAGTACCAGGCAGACAGAATGGCAGGCTCAGAATGGGCACCTGGGGGTGACAGTAGTAGCAGAGGCTTAGGTTTGTTAACTGCCCTTGAGACCAGCTTGTCAGTCTGCAAGTACCACCTGGCTCTTCTCATCTGGTGGTGAAAATCTTAGTAATGACCATCCAATCCGGACATGGAGAGCTGACTGTTCCCCTCCTCCAGACCTGCCCAGAAATGGGAGCAAGAGGAACTGGGATTGGGGTGGTAGGTGGGCTCCACAACCAAAGTGGGCAGGTGGGGTTACCAGCATTTCCTAAGTGGCACCTGTTACCTAAAATACTATTTCTGAATAACCATTTGCAGAGACTCTGCCTGGCTGCAAAGAGCCCTAGGCAGGTGAGGCTAAACTAACTCTTAGTGAAAGTTCCCTATACATGTGGCCTCTTCTCTCTCCAGCTCTTTCTAGACTGCTTTCCGGGCTCTCTGTGTTTCCCACCTTGGTGGAGCTTACATGGGCCCTGTCTTCTTGCTATTGTACCATGTATTAGCCAGAGATCTCAAGAGACATAGAACCAACAGAAGCTCAGTGTATAGACAGAAAGAGACAGGCTTATATTAAGGAATTGCTTCACACAGTTGTAGGATCCAGAAAGTCTGAGGTTTGACTTCCGCAGAGCTACCCAGAAGCCGGAAAACCCTGGAAGAGTTGATGGTGAGTCCAAGGGCAACCTGGAGGCAGACCCCTTCCTCCCAGGGAGTTCAGATTTCTCTTGAGGTGTGGAACTGGTCGGATAAAGTCTGCCCACCTGCAGGAGGGTCATTTGCTTTATGCAAAAGTCTCCTGATTTAAATGTTAATCTCATCCAACAAAACACCATCTAGAGCAGTGTTTGACGAAGTATGTGTGTCCTGTGGCCTGTCCAACCATCATGCACTGTGTCACAATGGGCTGGGTTTGGCACATTCTGTCTGAACAAGGTTTCTGCTCTGAAGAGACCCTCAGTTTTGTCAGGAAGACATGGTCTAGCATAGCACACGGTCCTTTCTGAGGTCCAAGGATTGTTCAGTTAACAATTGAGCCAATTCTCTTGACAGGTCCAATGGCCAACACTTTTCAACATGAGCATTGAGACCGCAGGAATGAGGTTCTGGAAAGACAAGGGCACTCACAGTGTGCTGACAGTTATGTCTGGACTAGAAGAGCTAAGTGAATGAATCCAAATCATTTTCAGAAGGTCACGGTGACAAGCTCCATCACAAAACCACACAAGCAAAAGAGAAGCCAAAGTCAACAGATCTCCCCTACGGAAGAGGTGACTTTTCCCAGGAATGGGGTTGACCACTGACCATGCTGGTCCACACACCTGACCACCCATCACGTTCTGAGTTCCTGCTCAGTCTTTGTCACTGAGCTTTGCTTCCCAAGGAGCAAGCACAGTGATGGTCAGCATATTGTATGTCCCCAAGGGCACTTTGGGTGCCCAACTGAGCTATTCCACTAGCCTTCTTTAAGAAGAGCTTGCCTCTCAACTACAGGCTGAAAATTGAAGACACTCATTTTCCCAGCATTCTCAGTAGAGAATGGTCACATGACCAATTACAGCCAGCGAAACAGAAGGAAAAGTTGGTTGGGGAGGTTCTGGGAGGGATGCTTACTGTAGTATCACACAGTGAGACCCAGCTGCATGAAGATGTGACATGGTTCAATCTCTTGAACCCTGAGGTAAGAAGCCTGAGGAGAAAAGCTCACTCAACTGAGGAAGGTGGAAGGCGTGATGCAGAGTCTGGATGCGGGCTGACATCAGTGAGCTACCACACTACTTCTGAGACCATCTGCCTGGTTGGTGGCAGCTTCAAAATATATCCAAAACGTGATTTGTGCCCTACCCCCAGCACTATCCCTCTTCCCCTGAGCGGAGCCACTAGGCCCTTTCGCTGGATACTGCAGGAGCCTCCTCTCTGGTTTCCCTGCTCTCCCCTTGGCCCTCACTGCTCCAATCAACATGGCAGCTAACATGTCCTTCTACAAACTTCTATAGGCAGATCATGCTGTTCCCACTCACAACTCTCCAGGGCCTTCCCTTTTCCCTCTGAGAAACAACCAGGCTTTAGCACAGCCAACAAGGTCCTCATGACTCAGATCCTGCTGACCTCACTGACCTTCCCTTCTCTGGTTCTGCAGTCTATAAGCTTCTCAACAGCACAGCGTCTGCACCTGCTGGTCCCTGTCCTGGGCCCTGCATGTCTCCCTCCTTCACTTCCCACCAGTCTCTGCTCACGTGCCATTTCAGCATTGAGGTTGTCCCCACCATGTTGTGTGACAGTGCTAAGCATCAGAATGGATGCAATGGTGCAAATGTCCTGCAGTCTGACTTGCACAGTACAGTGGCCACTGGCCACATGTGGCCACATGAACACATGAAATGTGACTAGTGTGACTGAGAGACTGAACTTTTGCCATTTCATTCAGTGTTAATTAATTACAATTTAATATCCACATATGGTTAGTGGCTTCCCGCCTGGCAGCTCAGTTGTGTAAACCAGTCACTTCTCCCTGTCACTCCTTTCCCAGAGTGCCATATCCCCTCATTCACTATATTTTTAGTATCTGATCACTGTCTCGTGGGCCATTAATGCACACAGTCATTGGTTCACTATCTCCCTCCTTTGTAAATGTAGAGAGAAAAGGTACATGGCTCTGGTTGGTATGCACTCAGTTAATATCCACAGACTGGTTTGGGGAGGAAAGAGGAGGGAAAAAGGATGTGAGAGGAGGGAGGAGAGAAGAGGGGGTTTGCTCTGAGTCTCTCCAATTTTGAATGAGCTGACCAGGGGGTGTGGTTGCTGCAGTAGGGGCGCTCATCATTCAGGTCCTTGGATTCAATTCCCAACGTTGACACTTCCTGTCTTGTGAACATGGGCATACTGTTCCTTCTTTCTGAGCTACTCAGTCTAAGTCATTTGTCTGTGAAATGGAAATGATGATACTTACTTAAATAGAGGGGAATGTCTTGCATTCCATAGGTGCTCAAAGCAATTGTTGCCCAGGGGAGTTTCTGAGTCAGTGGGAACAGGGAAAGGCTTGCTTGGGGGAGGGAACCCTTTGGCTTCCTTTTTATAGCCTCTTGCCACAAACAGCCAAGGATCACAAACAACAAATGCCTATACTACAGAGGAGAGCTGCCTGTGATAAGACAATTGGCTTCTTTTCTACTTCCTTCATTTAAATTCTCCAAGGAAGACATTAGCAATCTTGAAATAATTGTCACTCTAACTCACCTACACCAGAGATACCATGGTAATTTGATTTTCAGGATAAAATTACACCATACCCAAAGGAAACAATTCAGCCCTTCTTTTACATTTCAAATTTGTTGAATTGAATTCTGTCAACAGGAAATTCCAAGTGCCCAGCAACTGACACAAAAGCAGACACACACGTGGACCCACACTTAAACCCAGTAAGAGACTTTCATATTTTGTTGATGACATTTGTTTTAAAATGCATTGTTCTTACCTTTCCAAAACTCCCTTTACCAATGGCCCGCAGAATCTGAAAATGGTCAAAGTTGACTGCAAAAGAAAAAAAAAAAGAAAAAGAAGCAAGTCAGGTGCGCCAAGCCTTGTGTTGGTTCTTTTCTGTACTGTGACTTTTTTTCCCTTCTTTTTACTAGAGTATATTAATTCTACAAAATAATGGGTTTTATTATATTCCCAAACATGCAGGTAAAATGCTTTGATCATTTTTACCCCCACCATTGCTCTCTGCCCCCTCAACTCCGATTGGCCTCCTTCCTCTTCCCAAATAGTCTCCCTTCTACCATGTGTTTTTAAAAATCTTCATTCTACATATGAGAAAAAACATGCAATATTTGTTTTTCTGAGTCTGGCTAATTTTGCTTAACCTATGGTCTCCAGCTCCATCCACTTCCCTGCAAATGACATCATTTAGTTTTTCTTTATGGCTGAATACTATACATATGTGTGTGTCACATTTTCTTTACAAAGTAGCCCATTGATGAGCACCTTGGCTGATTCTACACTTGGCCATTGTGAACAGTGCCACAATAAACATGGCTGTGCAGGTGTCTATTGTATGCTGACTTACATTCTGTTGGGTATATTCCACTGCTGGGTAGGTGTGGTATCGCTGGGTCATTACGGTAGTCCTGTTTTGAGTTTTTTGGGGAACCACCATACTGATTTCCACAGTGCTGCACTAGTTTACATTCCCACCAGCAAAGCTCCTCTCCATCCCCTCCCCGCCACCAATCCTCGCCAGCATTCCTTGTTGTGTTCCTGATGGCAGCCATTCTGACTGGGGTGACAGGGAGTCTCAGTGCTGTTTTGATTTGCATTTCCCCATGGCTATGGACGTTGACATTTCTTCATGTATTTTTTGACCATTTGTACTTTACTTTTGAGAACTGTCTGTTCGTTTGCCCATTTATTGTTTGGAACATTTGTCCTTTTGGTGTTTAATTTTTGAGTTCTTTCTAGATTCTGGATATCAATCCCTCTGGCATTGGTTCTTAAGCTTCCGTGCCCACACACTGTTATTCCCCTGGCTTCCGGTCTCAACAACACTTATTGGCCATAGCAGAGCTCTGTAACTGAGGGCTTTATGAACTTCTAGCACATTCCATTCTCTCTCCACACACAGTCAAAACCTCACCAATGGCAAATGAGACATCTTTGAGAGGCCAAGGGAAGTGGCAACAGAAAAACTCAGATATTTGAGTTTCCAAATTCTTGTACTTGCTGTTCCCTTTCCAGAAAGATATTTCCCTACTTGGGCCTCCTCACCTCCATGAGGCACTCATACACCCAGCCCACAGCTTACCACTTCATGGTCTGTTCTTGTTCATCTGTCTGTCCATCTACCCATAGCATTGTAGGCTACTGAAGGGCAAGGAGACTGATGCACACATCTGCCTGCCATTGATTTGGCTTTGCCTCTTCTTCAGGCGATACTCCTGGTTGGGGCCTTCCATTTAACTGCTTCTACATCCTCACTCTCCACCCCACTTCTGATGGCCTCTACCCCAATCGCTACACTGAAACACTAACTCTCATCCTCCAACGTGTTAAACACTGCAACCTGTCAGCTATCCCCCCCACAACTCTGCTTCTCATAGCCTCCAAAGTCTTGAATTAAAGGCCTGACCATCCAAAATATCCCTGGTCTCTAGCTGGATGGATGGATACCTACTCTATAGCTCCTCCCTGAAGGTTTCAAAGCCATCTTGAACCCAACAGAACTAACAGAACCCAGGCTGAGTGGTGTCCACCTTCATCTTACCACATAGCTCAGTGGACCCAACAGAACCCAGGCTGAGAGGTGTCTGTCACCTTTGATCCAAATGCTTAAGCCCCAGACAGGAAGTCATCCTTGCATCTTTGCTCTCCCAACTTCATATTTCATTCTTTATGAAGTTAGGTTTCTCCATCTGTCTACCCCTGTGGTGTCCTCTGGTCTTGCCTACCTTCTTCTGTCACCTGCACAGTGACTTCTCAAAGTCCCCTCCTGACTCTCACACTGGGCCGTGGGTGATGAGCACAATAATCTTATTTGTCCTCTGCTGTCTTCCTTCCCATGTCCTTCTATGCTCTCCTCACAGGCTGCCCCTTCTGCCTCATCTCCGTCACACTGCACACCCTGCACAGCAAGCACAAGTGTTTTCCTTCCTTTTACATGTATTTGTATATTTGATTAAGTTCTCTGTCACCTGGCAGACACTGAGCTCCCTGAGATCAAAGGCTATATTTATTTTTCACTGCTGTACCCTCAGCACCGAGCACAGTGTTCAGTACAGAGCATTTAGTAACTACTCATTAACCCAGGGGATGACTGATGAACTAATCTCCATGCTCACAGTGCCAAGTGCAATCCCTGGTACATAATAAGTGTTCGGTAAATATTTTTGAATTACATTGAATTACAGCCAGTCTGCGATAACTAGGAAAGACATGTTATTTGCAAAGATGAAGTGAATTGATTAGTTCATCACATAACGGGAGCAAAGATGTGGGGAAGTTGAATAAAATTAGCTCCTTGTATATTAAACTTATGCAGTGGAGGACAATTAGGTGGAGTGTGTCTGTGCAAGCCAAAGTCAGAATCCAGTGAGCTGTCAAACGCCTAACGTGCTCAGAATAGAGAGATGGGGTTAACCGTTAACAAGACCTGACTTCATTGACCTCCATCTGTTTACGTTCAGAAAAACTGGCCAAGAGAAGAAATTCCTAACTTTTACCTGTTATCCACTGGCCAATAGTCAAGAAAAAGGTGGCCTTGATGCCATTTTTCACCAGCACTCCAATCAAACAACCTCCACCCTCACGACCCAGGCTGTTACAAGCTCCTATGTCCTGTTTTGTGGCATTCCTGCCAGGAAGGTGGTTCCTCCAGCACCCTTACTGTGGGAGACTCCTCAATGGCCTGTGACACCAGTCCACAGCCTAGTGCTCACTCTCTTGTGGAGTTTTCCCCAAGTCCTCAACAACCACTTCCTTTTGAGAGCTGTTTTTGGGACCTTCTTCAGATATCCAGCCAGGGCTTAGGGAAACGCACTCTGGAAGCAGACTGCTGAGGGTCATGACCAGCTCAGCCATTGACTGTGTGTCCATGGGCAGGTCACTGAGCCCTATGTGCCTCAGTTACCCCATCTGTAAAACAGGGCAATGGTGCCTCCCTTACCCAGAGAGCAGAAGGTGGTGTTGAACACACTGACCTCTCCAAAGGTGTGAGCTGTCTATGCCTGGGTTAGGGCCCATCACACCCTCTCTTCTGGTTTCCTCCAGGACAGGGATTTCTCTAAACATTCATATCCTCTTGTGCCATCAAAAGTGGTGTAAGTCATCCTTCAAGGAGCTGGAAGGGGAGCTGCATGGGGTGTTTATGCTTGCCTGCCTCTCTGGGGACTCTGTCTCAGGAGTAAGCTGCTCTTCAGCTCCACAGAAGCTTTTCAAGGCTTGTGTCCTGTAGAGAGGACTGTGGGGTCCAGGCTTGTCTCTGTCCCAGCAGACAAGTCTAGCTGACTCTGCACTTTTTAATAATTAGTGTTATGATGTTGTAAATATTCCCACTCAACCATATCCCACACAAAAATGGGGATCCCCTGGGGGAGTCTAACATAATGTATGGGGCAAAATGGTGCTTAATAAATGCTTCTTTGCTTATTGAAGGAGGTTAGGTGTCCGTGATTTGAGCATGTGGTCTATGTTTCTCATTTATTTGTCTTTGCCCTGAGACCTTTTATGCTGATCCCAACAGTAAAGCCTAAAAACACTACAATGAGTGAGTAAAAGATTAGTGCTTGCCATATGCAGATTCATACGGCTTCAGTCATGTGCATGCCAAGCCAAGATGGGTCCTAGAAGTCACACTGCCACATGGGGTCGTTTGTCTAGAGCAAGAGGAGATGGCTGGGGGTGTGGGTGTCAGGGTGAGTGTCTTAGGGTGACTGTCTTGCCCTGTTTTGTTTGGGACCTTCCTGGTTTTAGCACAGGAAGTCCTGCATCCCTGAAATCCCCGCCCCCCCCCTGGGGAAGTCAAGGACAGTCGGTGGCTCCTTGGTCTCTACAACTTGAGCTTTGGCACCTGAGATCCCACAGCTTTGTGGGAGGGGCGTGAGGCACATTCCTAAAGGGTGGAGTCTTTGAACCACCAGGCCCTTAGACTGCCAAGGACAACATTCTAACCTGTGGCCTTGAAGCCTGCAGAAAATGACAGCCTCAATCTGACCATCCAAGACCAAGGTCTCCCCTGCCTTAAGCGTGGCAGGAGTTAATGACACATATCCCAGCTTTCTAGAAACAAGCACCTCAGTGTAAAAGCCCAGTTGCTCCTTCCTGAGCCTACCTGTTCTCCCATCTGGAGGGTGCACTTTCACTTTTACATTAATAAACCTGCCTCTGCTTAAGTTTCCTCCATGTCTGTCCTTGAATTCCTTCTCTGATGAGACCCAAAACAAAAACCTTCTGACTGCTGGGCACAGTACCCCGAATCCAGTAAGAAGACTACTGTGTAACCACAGTGTTATTTTTCCCAACTTCATCTCTCCTTCTAGATACAATGCAGGCCTCCAGATGACCCTTAAGAACAGGGTTATGTCTTGTTCATTGACAACTCCCAGGCGTTTGACAGGTGGCACACAAAAGTATTCCAAGATAATGGGATATCTGCATGAATGAGAGAGGTGAAAGGTCAGAAGATGGGTAGAGGGGCTGAAAAATTTGGTCACTGTCCCTTCAGGCCATCATTTATGTCCACATTGGAAAGGGGGGGTGGTAGTGACCCTACAGCATTGGCTTCCACCATGAAAATCTCCCATTAGTCACTCACTCAGTAACTGCCTATAGTGTGAGTAAACATGTTTTCTACTGAGTGGAAACTTGCTGAAATGACAGCTGCGTGTGCTGTGCACCAAGCCCTATCTAAAGTATTGGGAGTGAATGATACCCACTGTGACCCTGCATCTAGGGAGCTGACCTCCAGTGCAAGGTGACTAGTAAGTACAACCAAATGGTAGGAAGTGGTAAGCAGGTGTGTGAGCTTCCTGCTGCTGCTA